TCAAGTATTCTTCTTATGGATTGAAATATTTTTTTAAATTTTAATAAATTTTTTTAAAACAATTTAATTATTTTCATAAATAATGGAATTTTTTACGTAAATTCAATTATTTTAAAAAATGTGGATAAAATTTTTTATTAGAATTCAATTATTTTTAAAAATATTTGCATAAAATTCTTCAAAAGAATTCAATTTTTTTTATAAACAACAAAATTATTCGATGGAATTCAATTATTTTCAAAAAACTTTGATAAATAAATTTAAAAGAATTCAAGTATTTTATAAATAATAAAAATCTACATAAGGATTCAATTATTTTCAAAAATTGTAATAAAATTCTCCAAAAGAATTCAATTATTTTCAAAAATTTTGATAAAATTATTATAATTCAATTATTCTTCGCTAAGATTGAAATATGTTAATAAATTAAAAATTTTATTAAATTAATTTTAATAAGTTTCTTAAAAAGAATTGAATTATTTTATAAATAATAAAATTCTACGTAGCGATTCAATTATTTTTAAAAATTCTATAACATTTGTTTAATAATTCAATTATTTTCATAAATATTAGAATTTTTTGTAAGAATTCAGTTATTTTTATAAATATCTCATGAATATCTTTGAGTGAATTGAATTATTTTCAAAAATGATGATAATATTTTTTATTAGAATTTAATTATTTTCATAAATAATAAAGTTTTTCGCAGGAGCTAAGTTATTTTTTAATATTTTCTAAAATTGCTTTGAAAGAATTAAAAGAAATAATAAAATTGTTCGCAGGAATTCAATTATTTTTAAGAATGTTAATAAATTTCTTGGAAAGATTTGAATGATTTCAAAAAGTTTCATAAAATTCTACTCAAAGAATAAGTGAAATTCTACTTCAATAATTTGAAGTTTACTTAAATAAGAACAAAAATTATTTAAACAAAATTTAATTGAAATTTGATAATGAATACAATAATTTAATACAAAATTTCTATTAATATTTAGTTAATCAAATAAAAAACAATAAATTAGTAAAATTTCTCAATTTTCTCATTAAAAAAGAAATGGTTTTTGTTTAGAAAATTGAGAATAAAAAAAAAAATAAAAAGTGAGAATATAAATTAAATGTAGATATTTTTATTTAATTATTTTTAATTATGAAGTTTGTATTTTATTAATTTATTCGTTTTAATAAAAAGAATTCAATTTTTTAATAAACAAAAGAAAAGTTCTAATTAAAAAAAAAATAATACAGTCAACTCTCGATAAGACAAACAACTCGAAGGGAGACCGAAAAAACTTTGAGTTATCGAAAAGTTTGAGTTATCAAATGTTAATAATGCTTATAAGGAATTAACGGGACCCAAGAATTACTTACCGAAAAATTTGAGTTATCGCGCTTTGTCTTATCGAGAGTTGACTGTATAAACAAAATTTAATAAATTAAATTAGTAAAAAATGTACTTTTGAATTTTGTAAAAAGAAGTTGAAAAAATTAAGTGTTGGAAATTCCTTTGCCAAAGTATGAAAAATGGATTGTTGGAAAAGTGGTTGAAAATTGATTTATCGAACAAGTTGAGAATTGAAATTGGAACACTGCTATTTTTTGATGAATTTGTAATTTACAAGTGAGAGGAGAAAAATTGTTTTTTTCAAAAATATGAGAGAAAAATTCATACTTTTTCAAACTATAAAGTGATTTTATTTGTTCTTTTATTTTATGTTTTGATTACTTTTTTAAAAATTTTTTTTATTATATACTTTTTATTTTTAAATTTCCATCTTTTTGTTTATAAATTTTCTTTATTTTGTTCTTTCATTTTCCTCTTTTAATTTTGTTTTTAATTTTGTATTCAAATTTTCTTCTTTGTGTTTTTAAATTTACTTTATTTTATTTTCTTTATTTTTTTACATTGTTCTTCACATTTTCTCTCTTTTCCATTTTCATTTTTCTGTTGAAAAATAATCTGAAAACAAATACAGTAATAATATTCTATTAACTTTTTTTTTTTAATTCTTTAGAATAATTCCATCTTTTAATACAAAAATTAAGAAAAAAAATTGTAGAAAAATAAACATTTCGGAAAACAGTAATTAGAGAAGAATAAATTTTTCATAAGCTACAGTATTACATTTTTAATCCCCTGGGATTTTTGTCCTTACATTATTAATTCCCTTTGAAAACTGTGCACTTCAAAAAAAAGAGGAAGGAAAAAAAAATTCTATAAACTTCAACGATCGGAAGGTAAATTTTCCTTAAAAAGTCTAAAGCAGCTTGTCTATATAAAAGGAGACGATAAAACATTCACGACTCTTGTTTGAAGAACGTCACAATATGAAACGTTTAAAATTACGTTAACTTGGCTCGTGCCCTTTTTTCCTTCATCATTTCAATTGTGGGTGTGAGGGAGAAGTCGAGATGAGGACCAAAAAAATAAAAAAAATAAAAAAAGTAGAGGACAAGAAAAACGAGAGATAAAATGTGGTAAAAATACAAACAACAATGGGTGCAGATAATGGAAAAAAAGACCCAAAAAGAAATGAAATATTTATTATACGTTCTGGCACAAAGTACCAAAGGTAACAAAAGAAGTGGAATAAGCGCACATAAATGAAGAACAGTTTACTTGAAAAAGAAGAAGAAGACGAAGAAGAAGGAGAAAAAGAATAAAATAAAAGAAAAAAGTGAAAAAGAGTAGACGAGGAGAGAGAAATTGCTTATTTAAAAATAAGACTCACGGAAATCATGCCAACAGCATGTAAAATATTATCACTTGTGTCCTTACTTCTTTTATTCACTTTCAGGTCACTCATGATGAAATATGCCTTGAATTCAACAATTTTTATTTCCTTTTTTTATTTTTCGTTTCCTCTTTATAATTTCATTTACTTATTTAACATTCTGATGTCTCTATCCTCATATTTTTTTTGTTTTAAAACTTTAAAGTTTAATGAAACAGTGACAAGGAAAATCGAAAATAAAAGTTTCTCTCTTTTTTTACGACTGAAAAAGTCTCTTTATTAGACTGAAAATTAATTTTAAAAAAAATTCTATGACTTTGGAATTATTTTTGAGAAATTTGACGAAAAGAAAAATTAAAAAAAAATCAAAAAAAAATTATATGGAATTATTTTTGAGAAACAATATTCTTCTCTCTAAGCGTTATTTTCTTTTATTCATCAAAAAATTTTTTTATGTTCGACAAAAAAAAATTGCACTGATAAAACTACATTTTCTACTCAAGAAATAATTTTTCCCCTGAGAAAATTATTTTGACTCGTAAAAAAAACTGTCAGAATAACTTTAGTTAACAAAGAGATTCTCAGAAAAACTTCTTTTGCAGAAAGATATATTTTTTTAGAAGAATAAGTTTTTTTTTTATTTTCTAAAATATATTTCCAAAAATTTTAGAAAAATATTCTTTATGGAAAAATGTTTTCTTTTGCAAGATTTTTTGTAATAAAATTAGATTTTGTCACTAATTGGACAAAATTTACCTGAATGTAAAAATTTGTCTTTGAAAAAACAAACTCCTCTTGGGAAATTAGGAAAAAGTGTTTGCTATTCAAGAAATCCTGGAAGTATACAAATTTTTCTTAATTAAATGAAAAATTTTTAATTCAAAAAATTATATACTAAAGAAACGGCAAATTTTGAACTAAACTTTAAAATTATAAACAAAATTATACATTAAAAAAAAATTTAATTGAAATTTATACAAATTGAAAACAAAAATAAAATGAAAATTATTGTATATTAAAAAAACCTTAATTGAAAGTTAAACAAATTAAATTAATAATTAAAGAAATCGCGTAGAATAAAAATTAATTAATTAATTAATTAATTAATTAATTTAATTGAAAATTAAACAGAATAAAACAAAAATAAATTGAAAATTTAAAAAAATTGTATAATAAAAAAATGTTAAATTATGAAAATTTATAAAAAAAATTATGACATTTAAAAAAAATTTGGAAATTAAAGAAAAATAAACTAAAAATTTAAACTATAAATTGTAAATTAATTAAATTATAATAAAAAATTATAAATTACAAAAAATTGCAAATTAAAAATAAATTGAAAATTAAAGAAAAAATTGTTGAATAAAAAATAATTGATAATTAGAAAAATTGCTACTTAAAAAAATTGCATACTGAAGAAAGAAAAATTTGAAAGAATTGCAATAAAATATAAAAAATTTATTTAAATGAATAATTGTAACTTAAATAAACTGTGGTAAATTATAATAATTATAAATTGAAATAAATTGAAAATAAAAAAAAATTTCAAAAAAGTTGCAAATTAAAGAAAAATTGTAAAGCACATAAGAGAAAATTGCAAATTGAAATAATTGTGAATCAGCAAAATATTAAAGTAAATAAGGTAAATAAATAAATAATTAAATAATTAAATAAGGTAAATAAAAAAATGTGTAAAGTAGAAAAAATTGTACCTAAATTAAAATATTTCTAAAAAAAAATTGTAAATTAATAAAAATTGCGAATACAAAAATTTTAGAGTAACTTAGAAAAAATTGCAAATTAAAGAATTATAAAGTAAAAAAAATTTGTAAATTTAAATATTGTAAATAAAACAAATTGTAAATTTAAATATTTGTAAATAAAAAAATTTAAAAGTAGAAAGAACTGTAAATTAAAACAATTTGAAAAGTAGACAGACTTATAAATTTAAACATTGCTAATAAAAAACAAATTGCAAATTAAGAAAATTGTTAATTAAAAAAATAGCAAATTAAGAATGAATTGATAGAAAATTGTAAATAAATAGTAAAAAAAAAATTAATAAATTTATAATTTACATTGACTGAGAAAAAAAAATTGCAAATTAAAATGAATTTTAGATAATGAAAAATTGCAAATTAAAATTAATTTTAGATGGTAAAAAATTGCAAATTAAAATTAATCTTAGATGATAAAAAATTGCAAATTAAAAAAAATTGTATAATGATAAAAAATTTTGATTTTTATAAGTGTGTTATTTTTTTGCAGTTCGAAATGGATATTCGTGTGTACCGGTGGCACTGTCTGAGGGTCTTGATATACGATTGAATACAGCAGCAAGAGCCGTGAGATATGGACCAAATGGAGTTGAAGTTTGGGCAGCGCCTGCAAGAAGTCCTCAAAGTAGTCACACTGTCTATAAAGCTGACGCTGTGCTCGTCACTCTTCCCTTGGGAGTATTAAAAGCACAAGCCGCACCTTCGGCAGTTAGCTTCAATCCTCCACTTCCCGATTGGAAAACACAAGCCATTCAAAGGCTGGGCTTTGGCAATCTCAACAAGGTAGTTATTTTCCTCAAAAAAAAAAAAAAATTTACAAAATTCATCAAAAAAAAAAAAAAAATTATTTTGTTTAATTTTTATTTACTAATTTCTTTTATTTTTAATTTTTAGTACAAATTTTGTTATTGTTAATTTTTATAATTTTCTATATTTTTAGTTTTTACAAATTTTCTTAGTTTTATTTTTACATATTTTTTTAATTTTTAATTTTTCCTTCTAACTTTTTTATATTTTTACCTATCACAAATTTTTTTATTGTTAGTTTTTCTAATTTTTTATATTTTTAGCTTTTACAAATTTTCTTAATTTTTTTTTCGTTTTATTTTATTTTCGTGGTATTTATTTCTTCTCACTTTTATTTCCATCTCGATTTTGATTTTATTTCCATTATTATTTTAATTTACTTTAATTTTACCTCTTTTTTTATTCATTTACACTTTTTCCTCAACATAGATTAGTAAAAATTTTTGTATTTATTTTTTATTTCAATTTATTTAATTGTTTTTATTTTTTATTTTTTGTTTTTTCCAACACTTTATTTATTTATTCATTTAAAATTGAAAATTGTTCGTATTATTTATTCGTTAATGTATTTTATTTTATTTTTTTTTAAATATTTATTTATTCTCATATTGATTTTGATTTTACTTCTTATATTAATTTAATTTATTTTAAATTTTACTTTCTTTTAGTCGTAAAAAACTTTTTTAACAAATTTAAAATTAAATTTTTTAAATGTAATTAATAAATGAAAAAATTGCAAATAAACAGAAATGACAGAAAAATATTGAAATTAAAAATTAGTAATAATAATTGTTAGAAAGAATTGGACAAAAAAAGTTTAATTTATATGATTAAAAAAAAATGTTATTATAAGAGAAGGAAAATTTTTTTAAAATAAACTCTTAAATACTATAATAAAACAAAAAATTTTGTAATAATTTATTTATTTATTGCTTTTACAATTTTTAAAAGAGCTTTTAAAAATAAAAAACACTCCTAAATAATAAAATGATAAAAGAAAAAAAGAAAAAATGAAATGAATAAAAGAGAATAAAATAAAATAGAGACAAAACAAAAAAAAAGAATTTTTTAAACGAAAACTTCTTTTTTAAAAAATCAAATTTCCTTTTTTTCACTTAATAAACATAAAATAAAAACGACTCTAAATTTTGAAATTTGTAAAAAATGTTATACTTATTGGAGATTTTTAATTAGAAAACGATACGAGATTTATAAGAAATTAGTAACATCTTTCTTTTCTTTTTTTTTTAATTATTTTTAATGAAAAATAAAATATTCTCCACATTCAGAAAAATATTAACTTTTTATTGCATTCATTTATCACAAATTCCAATTTCAATTTTTTCACCAGGAACGATTAAAGAATTTTAGGAGTCGATTCGACACAAGATTCTTTTAAATATATAAAAAAGGAAAAAAATAAAAAAAAAACCCCTTCATCGAGACATTAAAGAGCGGAGAAATTAATTTTTATCTGAAATGAACGCTTCCATTTTATATTGAGAATGTCATCCTTCTAAATCATAAATAAAAATTTCTATACGCATAAATGAGCAAGAAAAGAGAATATTCAATGATTTTTTTTTCTTTTTCTAAATTATAAATGAAATAACAGTTTTCTTTTCTTTTTTTTTTCTTTTATTTTGACACTTTGGTGAATCATTTATTTCAAATGGGACGTGATTTGTTTTTCAATTTATGCAAAAGAAGGGAGAAAAAAAATGAATAAGAAAAAGAAGAAAAAAAAGAAGACGAAGTTTAACTGAAATCAAGAAATGAGAGAGAGTGAGGTAGAGATGAGGCTTATAATAAAAATTCGAAATTCATTTCAATTCTGGTTTTTCAGGTGGTATTATGTTTCGAACGCATTTTTTGGGATCCAACGGCAAACTTGTTCGGTCATGTTGGAAGTACAACGGCGTCTCGTGGTGAACTCTTTTTATTCTGGAATTTGTATAAAGCGCCGGTCCTTCTGGCGCTGGTCGCCGGAGAAGCCGCTTGCGTTATGGAAAATGTCAGTGACGACGTCATCATCGGTCGCTGTATTGCTGTACTCAAGGTAAACTATCATTTATCATCTTTATAGCCACCAGAGATTCGAGGAAGAAAAAAAATTCTCTATTGAATTCCTTTTCAATTAAGCGTACAAAGATTTAATTTTTTTCTTTTATTTATTTTAATTATTTTTTTATTTACCATTGTTTTTTAGTTTTTAAACATAAATTTCGATAATTTGTTACATTGTATAATTTCAAGGCTTTTTGTCTGTTTAAAAAATATAATATTGAAAATAAAAAGAATAAAATTGCCTTATTCGATTAATAAAAGTTAAAAAATTAAATTTTACATTTAGAAAATTTATAATTCCTATTTTTAATATTTTTGCGTTACTTTGAAAAATAATTATTGCAATAAAAATTTAATTTGAAGAAGAAATAAACAATTTTCTTTTATTTGAAGGCTCGGGACTTATAGATCTTGTAAATAACAAAAATTGTATTTTAATGACAAAATTGTAACTTGAAAAAAATGTAAATTATAACAATTATAAATTAGAATAAATTGCAAATAAAAAAGATGCAATAAGAATTGCAATATAAATTACAAGTTAAAAAAAATTGTAAATCATAAAAATAGCAAATTAAAGAAAAATTTGAAATTGAAAGAAAATTGTTAAAAATTTGCTATTGAAAAGAAATCTATTTATTTATTTCAAATTATAAATTAAAACATTGTAAATAAAGGAAATTGCAAATTAAAAAAAAATTTTGAAGTAGAAAAATTTGTAAATTAAAATATCCTGAGTAAAAAAAAATTGAAATGTAGAAAAAATTGCAAATTAGACAAAATTGTAAAGCATAACAATTTAAAAAAAAATTGGAATATGAACAAAATAAATAAAAATTTGTTACTCAGAGAAAATCTATTTATTTATTTTAAATTATAAATTAAAATATTCTGAATAAAAAAAATTACAGAGTAGAAAAAATTGCCAACATTAAAAAAAAATTATAAAGCACAAAAATTGCAAATAAAAGAAAAATTGAAAACTGAAAAAAATGATAAATATTTGTAACTCAAAGAAAATTTATTTACCTAATTCCTTCAAATTATAAATTAAAATATTGTATTCTTTCAAATTATTAATTAAAATATTGTACATAAAAAAATTACAAAGTAGAAAAAATTGCCTACATTAAAAAAAATTGCAAAGCAAAAAAATTGCAAATAAAAGAAAATTTGGAAATTGAAAAAAAGATTGTAAATATTTGTAATGCAAAGAAACTTTATTTATTTTATTCAAATTATAAATTCTAATTTATTTTTCAATAAATTACAATATTGTGAACAAAAATTGCAAATGAGAATAAATTGTACATTAAGAAAAGATTATGGATAAAAAAAATGTTTAAAGTAGAAAAAAATGCAAATTAAAACAATATTAAATTAGAAAAAATGGAAAATAAAAAAGTTTTTAAAGTAGAAGAAAATTAAAAATTAAAAAAATTATAAAGTAAAACAAGTTGTAAATTTAGAATATATTGTAAATTAATGGAATTGTAAATTTAAAAATATCGTAAATAAAAAGAATTGTAAATTTAAATATCGTAAGTAAAAAATATTGAAAAGTTGAAAGAATTGCATATTAAAATAATTGTAAAGTAGAAAAAATTGTAAATTAAAATGTGTCTAGTAAAAAAAATTTAAATTAAAAAAAACTGCAAATTAGAAAAAATGGTGAATTAAAATATTGCAAATTTAAAAATTTTTAGGTAGAAAAATTTGTAAATTTAAATATTATTAATAAAAAGCATTGTTAATTTAAATATCGTAAGTAAAAAATATTGAAAAGTAGAAAGAATTGCACATTAAAAAAATGGTTAAGTAGAAAAAACCGTAAATTATAATATATGTCGGGGAAAAAAAATTAAAAAGTAGAAAAAACCAAATTAGAAGAAATGATGAATTAAAATATTGCAAATAAACAAATTTTTGAGTAGAAAAAATTGTAAATTTAAATATTCAAAATTTAAATATTGTTAATAAAAAAAATTGAGAAGTAGAAAAATTATAAATTAAAATAAGATGAGACTAGATTAGGGTAAAAAAATTAAAATTGTAAATTAAAAAGTGGCTAATTAAATAATTAAAAAAGAAATAAGAGAAATTAGAACCTAATTATTTATTTATTTACATGCAATAGTAAATAGTTTTTACTAAATTTTAATTCGAAAAAAATTTGTTTCTCCAAAATTTTAGGGTATTTTTGGAAACCAAGTTGTGCCTCAGCCCCGTGAGAGCGTTGTAACAAGGTGGCGTGCTGATCCCTGGGCTCGAGGATCTTATAGTTTTGTAGCCGTTGGAAGTTCCGGAAGTGACTACGACCTTCTTGCTGCACCCGTGATTCCCCCGCCTCCGCCAAACCAACCGTCAGGAGCAACGCCACCCCAACCACGTTTATTTTTCGCCGGTGAGCTTTGTCTCTTTTTCCTCCACTTTTCAAAGTAGAACTTTTTTTTATTTTAATTCCACTTTTAATTTTTGGTTCAATTTATTTTTTTTATTTTATTATTTTTTTATTTGGTTTTAATTTATACTTTACAATTTTTATTCACAGTTTTATTATTTACAATTTTTATTTCTAATTTTCAACTTTTTCATTTTCATAATGTACATTTTTTTCGTTTTATAATATTTATTACAATTTAATTTAATTTGTTGTAATTTTAACAATAAAATTGTTGTTTTTCAAAAAAAAAAAAGAAAAAATGGAAAACTTGAAAACTAAATAATCTTCACTTTTGGTGAACTACATATATTAGTGGTTGGAAATAATTTTTATTTTCACATTTTTTTTTCATGAATGTATATTTGTGTAATACTCCTTGTAAAGTTATATATTCTTTCATATGCAGTTCAGTATTCTGGTGATGCGAAAGAAAGTCATAAAAACTTGTCGAGAGGCTTCACTTCTAAATATAAAAGTTGCAATAAACATCAGAGGAGAAGAAAGGCGAAAAATAAAGAGACTACTAAAAAGTTTATTTTTTTTGCCTCTTGCTGTTGTATTCTCAAAGTATTCTAGAAAACTTTTCAGATTTATTATTCAAAAAATTTTCAAAAACTAAACCATTCAAAAGTTTTTAAATTAAATATTCAAAAGTTATTAAATTAAATATTCAAAAGTTATTAAATTAAATATTCAAAAAATTTTCCAATTTAATAAACAAAAATTTTGCATATTAAATATTCAAAATATTTTCCAAATTGAACCATTCAAAAGTTTTTCAATTAAACACTCAAATTACACTATTCAAAAATTTGCCAAATTAAACTATCGAAAAATTTTCAAATTAAAATTTAAATATTCAAAAATATTCCAATATAGATAAAAAAAAAATCAAAATTTTTTTAATAGGAATTTAAAATTTTTCGAAATAGATATTCGAAGATTTTTAGATTAAATATCCAAACATTTGCAGAATAAATATTAAAAGATTTCGAGAAAAAATTTGCAGAATTTGCAGAAATAAAAAAAATTTTTGAGAATAAATAATAAGAAACGTAATTTAGAAAAAACCAGAACGAAAATACGAATTTTTAATGCAGTCTCTCTTAAATTTCGAGGTGAATTTTCTGCTTGCGTGATTTTAATGATAATAATAACAAGAATAATAGTAATAATTTAATAATTTCTTCTGAAATTATGGCTAGAGCGTTCTGGCATTTAGCCACAAAAATGAAGAGTCCTCCCTTTTGTTATTTGACTAATAAAAATGTGTTTGTTTTCTTTTATTATTTATTTTTATGGTTTTTTTTTTGCAGGTGAACACACGATACGCAATTATCCAGCAACAGTGCACGGAGCATTTTTAAGTGGACTCAGAGAGGGTGGCCGTATAGCAGACCAACTTTGTGGAAGTCCGTATGCACCTCCTAACTTAACCACTTCCGTTGCCTCGTCAACCGCAATCCCTACAGCTACTCCGAGCTCAGGCGTAACTCCATAAAGACTTCTCTTTCTCTCTCTCTCCCTCTCTCATTTTCTCTCATTCTCTCTCTCTCACTGGCCCCGCAGCTAATGCGTTCGTTCGCGCAAAATCTTCACAGACTAGTGACTACCAACTCTCGGAAACATTGAAAACTTTTCCTTAAAGTTTCATCAGCAGATCTTGTGAGAAAAGTTTTCAAAAAGAAGAAGAAGAAGAAAAAAAATCGCTCCTTGCATTTTGTCATACAGAAAAACGCAACTCTGCTGAATATCACTCTAATCTTTTTAAAATCCATTCCACATTCTCTTCCAATTTAATCTTCTCCAATTATTATTACTAAATTTTTTTTAACGTTTCCATTTTTTATATTGTTACGTGTTATTTTTTTATTTTCGTCAGACGATGCGAATTTTCTTAAACACTTTTTTTTTGGTGTTTGACAAAGATAAGAATGATTTTTTTTAAGCGAAATTTAATTAAATATTTCTGATTTTTCTCACTTTCGAGAAGTACACCTATTACGGTGGAAGAGTGAATTGTAAATAGTTGAAAAAATCGCAGTTCGCCGTTAATTTCTTTTTTTTCCAAGAGTGTATCGTTTATTAAGAATTCTCGATTTTCGTTCAAAATTACATAATTATTAAATATCAATCACAAATCGAACAAGAAAAATTTAACGATAAATCAAATTTTACATAAATGGAATTTTATAAAGTCTCAGAAAAAATATACACGATCCTAAAAATCCCGAACGTTCAATTGAGAGGAATTTATTTATTTCTTTGTCAAATTAAATTTTTATTACAATTTTCCGTCACAATGTTAAAAAGAAAATTAATTATAAAGTGTTTAAAAAATGTAAATTTTAAGCTTTTAGCTTGCAATCAGTATTTTTATTAAAAAATATTTTTAATATTTCATTTAAAAAATATTTTTAATATTTTATTTAAAAAATATTTTTAATATTTTATTAAGAAAGAATCTGACGGACAGTCAAATCAAAAGTTAGTCGAATGTCAATAATATCGTAATTGAAAAGAAAAAAACAAATTGAATTTTAAATTCGTCTTGGTGAAAAAGCGAAGAATTTAATTTTGAATATTTAAAACGATTAAAAGTTGCACTTGGTTAAAAATTACAATTTTCTGTCAATAAGAAACATTTGTTAAATTTTAGGTTCTGTTACTTAAATCATTTATTATTGACAAAAACTAATCATGTTTATTCAAATATAACTTTAAAATGTTCAAAAAGTAGAAAATTAAATTCCTTACGCTTCTACCAAAAGGAATTTAAAATTTAATTTAACTTTTTTTTTTAAAATACGAAATTATGACATTGGACTAACTTTCGTTCTGATTGTTTGTCGGATTCTGCCTTAAAAATATATTTTTCATATTTTATTAAAAAATAGTTTTAATATTTTATTGCAAAAATATTTTTAATATTTTATTGAAAAAATATTTTTAATATTTTATTGAAAAAATATTTTTAATATTTTATTGAAAAAATATTATAATATTTTATTGAAAAAGTATTTTTTAATTTTATTAAAAAATATTTTTAATATTTTATTGAAAAAATATTAAAAATATTTTTAATATTCTATTGAAAAAATATTTTAAATATTTTATTAATAAAATATTTTTACTAAAAGATAATTTCCTTCATTTGAACGTTCGAAACTTGTGAATTATAATTATAGTCGAATTAGAAAAAAAAATTTTGTTCAATAAAATAAATACTATTAAATAATAAACCGAGAATTTTTAATATTTGATTACTCTGCGACTGTTTTTCTTTTTTGAGCTTAATAATGGAATGTGATTTTTTAAGTTGATAAATTTTGCTAATAAAAAAGTGTCCTTTTCAAATTTTCTGAAATTAGGAACTTTTTTTCGAAATTAATAAATTATTGTTAAAAGTCTCATGTTTAAATTATTGTCAAGAAACTGAATTTTATTTAAATATTAAAGTTTAAATTCTCAGTTTCATTAATTTGAATTAATTAATTTGAATAAATGAATTACTTAATTTGAATGAATAAATTAATTAATTTGAATGAATAAATAAATTATTAATGAACTATTTTGAAAAATGAAAAGTGGACATTTTTTTAGTTAAATGAGAAATTTGTGAATTTTGTCATCTAAATGCCTTGGATCTAAGTCTTAAGTTTATATTTTTTTTTTTTAGTTTTTAATAGACTGAAGCGAATGTTTTAATGTACTTTACACATCGTTACGTGAAAAGTACGCCAATAGTATTACGCAATTCCAATCGTAACGATATACTCGATGCTTGAGTTGAAACGTGACAGTGCTCGAGCCTAAAGTGTAAAAAAAAAAATTCTGCCGTTTCACTCAATCAATTATTACGAATTTTTATACTCTTAAATGCTAATAGCAAAAATCATGTTCGTTAGTTAGAACGAACAAAAAAAAAAAAGTTAAATTGTATATAAAAATGTTTCTTTAACCGTAATTCTTAAGAATTTAAATTAAGCACTTATTTTATAATCTATTAAATAATGTTAATCATGAATTTTCCAGTCTTTCCCTATATATGTTTGTTTCGTTTTTTTTTCAAGTATTTATAACTATTGATTAATTTTTGAACAAATAAAATTTTTGAAATTTTCAATTTTCCATTAATGATATGAATTTTTAGTTTTTTTTTAATGATTCCATCATTAATGGAACGCTTCTTTTTTTGAAAGATAAGCGAAAATTCGCAAAACAGCTTCAGGATAATAAACCGAGAAGGGAAGTTCCAATAAACACCAAAGGGGGAAATGCTTTTCGACGAAAAGTTTTAGAGGCCACAAAGTTTGCTTCTCAATATATAGATATATAAAGACACACATATAACACTGTAACTTTTGCCAGGAAAACATTTCCAAGCCCTTGTTTATTGAAACTTTGCGAATTATTTCGAAGCTCCGTTAGCCATTCAGTAAATGAATGCAAATTCTTCGGGGACTGCGGCAAACGTGAAATAGAAAAAGTTATTAATGAATTAGTATTTTAATGAAGTGTTCACATGGGAATTTTTATGTACATGATGTGTGAAAGAAAAGATAGAAAAAAAACTGCAAATATATAGTTGACGTAATAAAAAAAGGCAGTAAAAATATTTATCATATTTATTCGTCAAGAATCACTCTTTTCATTATATATAATATAATATAAACACAGACATTCAATGTTTGCACAAAATGATACAAAAAAAATGCAGAATATAAATAAAATTGACAAATACACACGTTAAATATTTTACAAGAAAAAAAACTCATGTATAATAATTACCATTCAATAAAGAAATTTTTGTAAAAAAAATGCCTCGTTTCTAAACCTAACTTTTGTATACAAAATAACTAATTTTACAATTACGTTTTATAACAAAATTTTTTGTTATAAATTACTAGAAATCGAATTTATCCTGAAAAGTGTCAATCATTTCCTTCCAGTTAAATTCGTCTGACAATTTTGAATGAAATAAATCAATGATATTTTCCGATCGAGTGTGACGAATAAGTTTCTCGAATGGTGAATATGTGGTTAAAATATGACGATCGCCAATGATGATTAATTTGTGTTTTGCTCGTGTGACAGCGACAGTAAGTCGGTTGTGATCGTCGAGAATGTGAAATGCCTGCCGAGAGAGAAAATTTTCCTTGTTTAATAGGATAGGGTTGGAAACTTTGCGAGGCGTAATTAATTTGCGCAAGCGCTTGCTTTGTCGTTGGGAAAGTAAATTCGCTATCGCACTAGAATATTTACCTTTGTATTTGCACAGCCTTGAGGTGAGCTCTCAGTACACGAGTAAATGATAATGTTCTTTTCACGTCCTTGATACTGATCTACAGTGTTTACTTCGACATCCTTTGAAACGGCTTTTCCTACTAAATTCACCTGCGCCCGAAATGGTGCAATGACGCCAATATCTTTATTATTTAGTCCCGCCTACAAAGGAACAATTTTTTTTAAAATGGTAAAATCAAAATTCTATTTACAATTTTCAATTCTGTTATTCTTTTTTCATTTTATCTATTTTTTCTTTCCTTATTGAAATTTTCTGTAAATTTACCTCTTTAAGTGTATTGACGAGTCTTTCGACAATCGCAGCTTCCAGTAGATTTTTATAGGGTTTGGTATTATTTTTGAGATACTCGAATTTTGATTCAAAATCCTTTGGTACAGAGGTGTTGAGAAAAATCACGGATTCTTCGAGTTTTGTGGAGAGAGCTGCTTGGATCCACCAAATCTGCGAAACCTGGAATTTAGATTTCGATTAATTTCTAGAAATTAAATCTTTAGAAGAAATAAAAGTTTCTTTTATTTTTTTATTTATTATTTTTATTTTTACCTTATTATTTTTGAAGTGCAAAGTAGCGTTCCCTACATTCTCATTGCCAACTTCCAATTGATCTTCGTAGGTAATTTTATTCGCCAGGGTCATAATTTCCTTATTCATTCGATATTGAACAAATAACACTACGGTATTATTTTCACTATCGAGTCTCTTAAACAGAGATTCACTAAAGCCGAGTTCTCTGAAAAATTTATCAATAAATTAAAATTTCATTCTCTTAATTTTCTTCTAAACTTATTTTTAAATTTCAAAGAACATTTTTTAAGAACAAATGCCTGAAGAATTCTTTAAGAACATTTTTTAAGAACATTTTTTAAGACATTTTTTTAAGACTTTAAATTTCAAATAGATTTTAAATTTTGTTTAGAAAAAAATTTTCTTTTTTAACGAAGAAATTTTTTGTTTCGTATGAAATATTTTTTATTTCGAAAGGAAAAATAATGAGAGTGTGAAGAGAAAATGTGTCGAATAAAAAATAATTTCACCTTCCGACTTGACTTTTCGCAATTGGAGGTAATTGTTCGGGATCGCCAACAAGAACAAATTTCGTTGAATTGTAAAGCGGTTTCAAGACCGCACACTGCTGAGCTTGCGTACTTTCATCGACGAGACACATGTCGAATTTCCTTGACTCGAAAAGTTTGTGGTACGCACCGAGACAAGTAACGCCTACAACTTTCTGCCAATGCAAATTATTTTCAAAATTAAATTCAATTCGTTTAATATTAGGTCAATTTTTCAAATTGTTTTTACTTTTTTGTAAATAGACTATAAATTTTTTTTTCACGAGACTTTTATTATTCTCACATAAATAATAATATCTTTTAGAGCAATTAAATAATTTTCAACAGAATTTTAATAAAATTTCTCAAAAGAATACAATTATTTTCAAAAAATTCAGATAAAATTTTTCAAAAACAATTCAACTATTTTTATGAATTGTAAAATTCTAAGCAAGAATTCAATTATTTTCAATAGAATTTTAATAAAATTCCTCCAAAGAATAGAATTATTTTTAAAAATATTATTTAAATTCAATTATTTTCAAGAGTTTTAATAAAAATTGAAAATTATTTTCAACAATTCAGATAAAATTTTTCGAAACAATTCAATTATTTAATAATATGAATTGTAAAATCCTCCGCAAGAATTCAATTATTTTTATAAATAAAATTCTTTGCAGGTATTAAAATATTTCCACAAAATATTATAAAAAATATTCTTCAAAGGAATTCAATTATTTTCATAAATAATAAAATGTTTCGGAGAAATTCAATTACTTTCAATACAATTTAGATAAAATTCTTCAAAACAATTCAATTATTTTTATAAATTGTAAAATTCTTGCAATAGTTCAATTATTTTTGTAAATAATAAAATTCTTCTGAGAAATTCAATTGTTTTCAATACAATTTTAATAAAATTCCTCAAAAGAATTCAAATATTTTCAAAAATTTTAATAAAAGTATCCGAAAGAATTCAATTATTTTCAATAAAATTTAAATTCAATTCATCGAAACAATTCAATGACTTCAAAATATTTTAATAAAATTTCCAAGAAGAATAAATTGTAAAATTCTTGGCAATAATTCCATTATTTTTGTAAATAATAAAATTCTTCTGAGAAATTCAATTATTTTCAATACAATTTTAATAAAATTACTCTAACAGGTTTAATTATTTTTAAAAATTGTAAAATAAAATTTTTCTAAACAATTCAACTGTTCTCAAAAGTTTTTAATAAAATTCTTTGTAAGTTTCAGTTATTTTCAAAATTTTCAACTAAAATTCTTTTAAAAAATTTCACTATTTTTATGAAATGTAATGAAATTTAAAAAAAAAATGTAATTATTTACAAAAACTCTAATAAAATTTTTTAAAAGAATTTAATTTTCTATGAATAATTTTAATATAATTTAATAGGGAAATTTTTAATTACAATTAATAATAAACACAATTATTTAAAAAACTTAGAAGAAAATCTTCATAAAATTCAATTACTTTCAAAATTTTCAGTAACAATTATTAAAAAAAACTTCACTATTTTCAAGAACATTAAAATAAATTCTACAAAACAATCCAATTATTTTAAAGAATTTTAATAAAAATTTTTCCAAGAATAAAATTATTTTCAATACAATTTTAATTACATTTTCTCCAAAAAAATTTTTTGATAATTATTTTTGAAGAATTCAATCATTTTCAGTACATTTATTTTAAAATTGAATGAGGCTGAAGTCCGCAACGTTTTTAAAAACAAAATCTCAAAAATAATGCGACAATTTATTTTATTTCAGTTTCAAATTTACATTATTTTCTACTTTTTGTTTTTGAGTAACAATTATTAAGTAATAATTTCTTTAAAAAAACTCACGAATATGAAAATTAGAAATGATTTTAACTTGAAAAAAATTTTTTTCTGTTTTTTCGTTTTTAAAAACGTTGTGAACTTTAGCCTCATAAAATTAAAAACATTTTTAAAACATACAAAAATAAATAAAAATATAGAAATAAATACAAAAATAAATAAAAATGTAAAAATAAATCCAAAAGTAAATAGAAATTTTAAAAAAGAGAGTAGTTGCTGAAAGAGAAAATTAATTTCTCGATTGAAAATTTGGAAAAACTCACTTTACTATCATAGGCATTACGTAGATCCTCCGGAGTTTTGCAATCTTTAGTAAGCACATTCTCGGTAAATGCAGACAGTGACGAATGAACTCTTGTGCTTGAACCTAATCTCAAAAAATCAATTTTCTTCTCCATTAAACCAATCAAAATATTGTCAACTGCACTATGTGTGTTTGCTGTGATAAGAACTGATTTTCCAATTTTTACCAATAATTCCACCAATGCAATTAAAGTTCTCGTTTTTCCAGTTCCCGGGAAACCCTTCAGCAATACATACTCTTGTGCTGTTAAAATTTTAAAAATTCCCCGCTGCTGTTGTTTATTCAAACGTCCCAATATTGGCGCACTGATTGGCGCAATTTTTCTCGGCAAATGAGTCTTAAAAGTCGCCGGTTTTCTGTCAAAAACAAAAAAAAAAGAAAATAAATAAATAAATACGTAAATAAATCTCAAGGGAAACAACTCTAAATTTTCACGAAAAATACTCTCTACATTTTTACGAAAAAAATGTCCTTACATTTTTCGAAAAAATTGTCTTTACACCTGTAAATAGAAAAAAAAGGAATGAATGAAAAATGAATTCAATTACTTTTCAATGACAATACTTCTCAATCGGCTGCAGTGTTCGTCATTAATCAAGAGTCCACTAACGGCCGCTCGATTGTAGTGAGAAATATTAGCAGAAAAATATTTGTCAACGTGAAAAATCAAATTCGGATAGCGTAATGTGAGATTTCTGCAAAAAACAAAAAAAAAATGAAATCGTTTTAGTTTTATACAACGAGGAAAAAAAAGTGAAAAATTTATTTAGATATTTATTTTTTTTCCAAGGGGAAAAGTTTCAATATTCACCTGTCGAGAAAAACTGTAATTGTATCGCGATTTATTTCGCCAGCATATCCAGCGGATATATTAATTCTCTCTGAAGTATTAATAATCACGAAATCACTCTGCTGTATATCCGAGATAGTGAAATCGTTGAGTGCGCCCTCCAGTTCTTTATTTCTTTTGAAAGTGTGTTTATAGTGATCTCCTATTTTCACTACATGCACCATTTTTAAATTACAAATGCACGAACCTTTCTTCTCTCTTTAATTTTTTAAAATTAGTGATATAAAACAGAAAAAAAAGTACAATTTCTATTCTTAAATATTAATATAAAATAATAGAAAGTAAGATAATAAATAAATTATAATTAAAAATTTTTAATATTTAAATTCAAATAAACAATTGATTCTTTTGTTTTAACAAACAATTAATTTTTTTGAATTAAAAAATAATTCTACCGTTTTAAGGGTTCCATTGTCCAAACGTCTTTCATTGATGAACTTTGATTATAGGTCTCTTCTTCAATTTGATGGAGTTTCACCCATTTCATTACATAATGAATATGTTCCGGTTTCAAGTGATTCAATACTTTCTCCGATATTTCCTTCAAGGGATGCGAACTGCTTTTTAAACGAAATTTCTCATCATGCATGAGATACATTGAACACAAATGATTAACAGAACATTTTCCGCATGCACTATGATGATGTATCGGTTCAGGCAAATCCAATAGTAATTCTTTAACATCATGAAAATTATTTACATTAACATTCGTTTTTTTCGCAAGAAAAAGTGCCAAATTATTGCGAAGCATTATTAAATCTCGTCTCTCATTGTTGCTGCCTTTTATTTCTTTCATTTCATTTTCCCTGCAAAAAAAAAGAAAAGAAAAAAAAAGAATTAAAACATTTTTTTCTAGATAAAATTAATTATTGGTAAATTTATAATTTACTAACAACATTGCTTAAATAAATAAATATTTTTTACTCTATAAAATAATTTATATTATTAAAATTATATATTTTAATTCTAACTATTCATAGATAGATTTGTGATTTTTGTTTCATAGATAGAATTATGGTTAATAATTATGAATGAATGATAATTATAATTATCATTCATAGAAATATATTTCTCAGATAAATAAACGTTTTCCTATTGTTGGTAGATTTTAAATTGCTCGAATAGAAAGTTTTTAATAGTTTGGAATTAAATTGTAAAAATTGGAGAAAAATGGTTCGATATGATCGAAATTGAAGAGACTTACTTTAGATAGAGAAGAAGTCCACTGTCGACTTGTTGACCTATCATAGACATCATCATTGTATAAAGAATCACTTGACCCTTGTGCTCAGGAGAAAAAGAACTCTTTCCAGTCTTCAACTCAAGGGGCATAATTTTCCTCCTTGAATTGATTTTCACCTCGACGGAAACATCAATTTTTCCTTTCAATCCCAATTTTGGGAGCCAGATATTTTCTTCGATATCTTGAATCGTCTCGACTTGACCTTCGAAATTTTTATCTGCATTATTCGGTTCCTTCACTCCTGAATAATTTTATTATTATTAATAAAAAGAACAATAGAATAGTATATAAATTTATTATTTCAAATTCAAATCTTTTGAAATTCAGTAACTTTTAAGAATATTATATTATTTCATCATGTTCTAATAATTAAAAATGACCGAGTGGTAAATTATTTTCGATTATAAGAATATTTTTACTTTAACTTCTTCAAAATTCTTTTATTATTTTAATTCAATTATTATTTTCTAGAATTTTTAACTCGAATTATTCTTTAATTCAATTATTTTTAATAATTTATGAAAAAATTCTTTGAGAATTTTTAAATCCATTTGTTTACAATTCAATTTCACGAAACTTCAATTATTCAAAAATTCTTCATATTAGAAAATAAAAAACTTCAATTAATTTTAAAAAAAAATTCAATCAAACTTTTTGTTAGAAATATTCAAATTGAGCCTCCCTTTTTTTATTACTTATTTTATTTTATATCTGGTGGTGCCATCTGCTTCCGCTATATTTTTCTTTAATCGCCTGTTACGGCGTCTTTCTTTTTTTATTCGTTCAGTTCTCATAGAGACGCTTGAGACAATAGTACATTTTTGTATCTAATTAATCCTTTTTCGCTCATTATTAATAAATCTGTGACTTTACTTAAAACCCTGAATCTTTGGTCTTATTTCGTGATCCCTGGAACCTCGTTAATAGGTTATGGGCCCAGGCCACGAGTAAATAAGTGAAAATAAGTTTAGATTCGAAAGTAAGTTCATTCATTCTCGCGAAAAGAAAGAAAAATGGCGTCGCAAACGGTAACGCGAATAGAAATGCTTAACAAGGATAATTTTGATACGTGGCAAATCCACATGAAAGCATTACTCATTAAAAATGACGCGTGGGGCTTTGTAAATGGTACAAAAGTTAAACCCGAACCTGGTCAGAACAATGTGAACGCGGCGGCTGTAACGCAATGGGAACTCGAAGACAGCAAGGCTCTGTCAGACATATTTTTGGGAATTTCCCCCACGGAATTGAAACAAGTGAAAGAGTGCGTGACGTCGAATGAACTTTGGACGAAGCTAAAAGCCGTATACCAGTCAAGGGGCCCCGCAAGAAAAGCTAACTTGCTAAAACAAATTGTGCTACAACGCATGGACGAGGGCGACGACGTTCGTAGCCATCTTCGAAAATTTTTCGATGCTGTTGATCGACTGAGCGACATGGAAGTTCCGATAAACCATGACCTGCTGTCGATATTGCTACTTTACAGTTTACCGGCCAGTTTTGATAGTTTTCGTGTCGCAATCGAGTCGCGCGACGAGCTCCCCCAACCCGAAACGCTTCGAATTAAAATTGTCGAAGAAAGTGATGCGCGATCGAGTAATTCTCAAAATTCTGTGCAGAACGCGATGTTTTCACAAAAGTCAAATAATCGAGTTTACGAAAAGTCGGGTAAATCGGATAAACAAAATAGTGAAAGCAAATTTAAATGTTACAAGTGCGGGAAGTTGGGTCACAAAGCATCGAAATGTTGGTCGAAAGTGAGAAGTGAACAAAACAAAAACAAAACAGAAAATGCGTCGTTATACGCTACTTTCGTACCAAATGAGTGTCGCGAAGCGAGTACCGCGTTAATTTACCCGTCGAATAAAGAACGATGGTGCCTAGACAGTGGATGCACTGCACACATGGCTAAGGATATTAGTAATTTCAAGTTCCTCGATGCAAATATCTCGGAAACATTGAACTTAGCGAATTCTAGTTCAACGAAAATCAGTGCAAAAGGTGCTGTGGAAATGGTAACGCGTGTGAACGAAAGTGACAAAACGATAAATCTCAGTGAAGTCTTGCATGTTCCGGACTTAAGAACGAATCTTCTCTCGGTCGGGAAGATCGTCGACAAAGGCTATCGTGTAATGTTCGATAAACACAAGGCCGAAGTTGTAAACAAGACTGATAACAGTGTGATTCTACGTGCGGATCGGGTTGACGGACTATATTTTGTGAACGATCCAAATGCAAGTGTCAAAAATTCCGCACTAGTGAGCCGCGAAGAGAAAAATACCCTACTCAACTGGCATAAGAAGATGGGACATCTGAATGCCAGGGATCTTCGTGAGGCAGTGAAAAATCAAACAATCAAAGGAATAGAGATCAATAACATCAACTCCAACATCGAGTGCGAAGTTTGTCTTCAAGGAAAAATGACACGCAAGCCGTTCCCGAAAGCATCCTCGAGAAGTTCCGCTCCAGGTGAATTGATCCACACGGATTTATGTGGGCCGATGAAAGTCACATCGAACGGTCATGCCAAATATTTCCTGACATTTACTGACGACTCAACACGTTGGACGGAAGTTCGTTTCCTGCGACAGAAGAACGAGGCATTTCAGGAATTCAAGGCGTTCAAGAGCATGATCGAGACACAATATCAAAAGAAAATAAAATACGTACAATCGGATAATGGGACGGAGTATGTCAACAGGGAATTCAACGACCTTCTCAAGAACTCTGGCATCAAGCATCGGCTGACGGTTCCCAATAACCCGGAACAGAATGGTGTGGCCGAGCGCAAAAACCGAACCTTAGTCGAAATGGCTCGCTGTTTGCTGATTCAGTCCGGACTCCCGGCTTCATTTTGGGCAGAAGCGATCTCAACTGCAAATTTCATAAGGAATCGTTGCCCCTCGGTCTCATTGAAAGGTAAAACTCCCTTTGAAAAGTGGATGGGAGAAGTACCGAATGTCGGAAACTTTCATGAATTTGGCTCGTCTGTTTATTGCCTTAATCGGACTAAAAACACAGGTAAATTCGGACCACGTGCTCGCAAAGGTGTCTTCCTGGGTTTCGCTGCGGACTCCAAGGCCTTCAGGATCTGGATTCCTGAAGAACACAGGGTGGAAATTTCGCGGGACGTGGAGTTCTTGAAGGAATGCCAGAAAACAGATGAACGAAAATTCGAGGACTTCTACCCGGAGCAGATAATCGACAACCACGAGTCAAACGAAATCTTGGAACGGAACGAGACAATCGAGCAGCGCATGCCAACGGATGAAGTTGACGTCATCTTGGACAGGAAAGCAAGCAACCTAGAGGATCAGGAAATCATCGAAACACAAAATTTGACCGATGACTCTGGTGATGACGAGTTACTCTTCGAGGATGCCTCAAGTGAGTATGAACCCTTCCTGGGTTTCGACGTTAATCCAGATCAAATTCCAGGAGATGAGCCTCCTGACGTTCCAGTTCCGGCGAAGGTCAGAGGAAGACCAAGGAAGATTCTCACGGGAAGACGTGGTAGGCCGAGGAAGGGGAACAGGGTCGTTCAAGAGGACATCGATAATGATACGAATTTCGCAAGCACAGCGGAAATCCCGATTGATCACGCAATCTCTGGTCCAGAAGCTGACTCATGGATGGAGGCAATGGCGGACGAATTTTGTTCGTTGCTAGGAAACGACGTCTGGGACCTGGTGGAACGTCCTGGAAACCGGTCGACTATAGGAAGTCGAATGATCCTCAGGAACAAACGTGGTGCTGATGGATCTGTAATCAAGCGGAAGGCGAGGGTTGTCGCAAGAGGATTTTCCCAGCGTCCTGGCATGGACTACAACGAGACGTATGCTCCCGTAGCACGATTCAGCTCTATCCGTGTCGCAATGGCTTTTGCGGCGGAACACAAGATGTACACAAGACAATTCGATATTTCAACTGCTTACCTCAACGGCGTTATCGAAGAGGAAATTCACATGGAGATCCCGGAGTGCACCGAAAAAGTGTTAAAATTTATAATCGAAAAGAAATACGGATCTAGAGAAATCGTCGAAAAATCTGAGAGGATGTTATCCAAACTCCTTTCGGGAAACAAAGTGTGTCGGATAAAGAAATCCCTGTATGGACTGAAACAATCCGGACGTTGTTGGCACAAACGCCTGGGTGAAGTGTTGTGCAATTTCGGAGCAAAACCGACTTTTGGTGATGCTAGTGTGTATGTGAAAGGTAAAGGTGATGACGCCCTTATAATTATCGCGTACGTCGATGACATCATCACACTCTCAAAGAACCGCGAGAAGATCAATGACTTTCACAACTTCCTGGGGAAGTCGTTTCAAATCAACGACTTAGGCGAAGTATCCTACTGCCTGGGAATCGAATTCTCTCATGATGCATCAACGATCACCATGAATCAACGAGGATACATCTTGGAGATCCTGGACCGTTTTGGGATGTCATCGTGTCATCCGGTGAACACGCCACTCGACCCGGGAACGAAGCTGTCCAAGACCGACACCTGGACAACTAAGGATGGTAAGAAACCACCATTTAGAGAGCTCGTGGGAGCACTCATTTATCTATCGGTGGCGACGCGCCCCGATATAACTCATGCAACAAGCAACTTAAGTCAATTTAATGACTGTTTCGGAATTAGTCATTGGCAGGCCGCGAAGAGAGTGCTTCGTTACCTCAAGGGAACGCTGGACGTGGGGATCACCTTCGGAGCAGGAGGGGGCAGTATTACCGGTTTCGTCGACGCAGATTGGGCTGCGTGCATCGATGACAGGAAATCTTACACCGGGTACATTTTTACAATGAACGGAGGTCCAGTTTCCTGGGAGTCGAGAAAACAGCCTACGGTAGCACTATCCTCTACAGAGTCGGAGTACATGGCTCTCAGCGATGCCTCCAAGGAGGCAATCCACCTACGTCGGATCCTGGAGGAGATTAGTAAAAAGAAGCAGCCGGCCATCACGCTACACGTGGACAATCAAGGAGCAAAGAAATTGGCAGAGAACCCCGTGTACCACTCGCGCACGAAACATATAGACGTGCGTTATCATTTCGTGAGGGAAGCCTTGTCAGCAGAGGAAATTTACTTGAAATACCTTGCCACGGAGAACATGCCAGCGGACGTCTTTACCAAAGGACTGCCGAGGATCAAGCATTGGAAATGTTTGAACAACATCGGAATATTAATGTGAAACTAGATGGACATCACTTTGAGAGGGGGTGTTAGAAATATTCAAATTGAGCCTCCCTTTTTTTATTACTTATTTTATTTTATATCTGGTGGTGCCATCTGCTTCCGCTATATTTTTCTTTAATCGCCTGTTACGGCGTCTTTCTTTTTTTATTCGTTCAGTTCTCATAGAGACGCTTGAGACAATAGTACATTTTTGTATCTAATTAATCCTTTTTCGCTCATTATTAATAAATCTGTGACTTTACTTAAAACCCTGAATCTTTGGTCTTATTTCGTGATCCCTGGAACCTCGTTAATACTTTTTTTAGAAAATTAATTCTAATACAGAATTGTTAGTTAAAAGTATGAAAATTTCAGATTTTCAAAGATTTTTATTTGAAACTTTTTCAAATTCAATAATAACTTCTAAAAATGCACTCTATATAATGCTTCTAATATTCAATTATTATCTAAAACTTTAACTAAAACTCATGTTTTAATGGATTTTTATTAGAAAATTGTACAAGAATAATTCAATTCTTTAAATACTTTAAATAATTGAAATCTTGAGAAGAATTTTATTAAAATTCTTCAAAAAATTGAATTCGAGTAAAAAAATTTATTATTTGTGAAAATAATTAAATTCATGCGAAGAATTTCATAAAAATTTGGTAAATAATTGATTTTATTCGAAAAATTGTAGGCAAATCTTATTTCTTTAAATATTTGAATTCCTATGAAATTAATATTATTATTTATGAAAATATAATTGAAAGTTTGCGTAGAATTTTATCAAAATTCTTTTTCAATAATTTAATTCATGAAAAATTTTATGATAATAGTAGATATTAAAAATCTTTGAATTGCAATAAAGTTTTCAAAATATTTTAAATTTTGACAATTTAATTAAAATTTTTAAAAAATGAATTTTTCTCAAAGAATTTAGCTACCTATTTATCAAGATAATTGAATTTTTGAGGAGAATTTCGTGAAAAATTTTTGAAAGTAATTGAATTTTTGCGAAGAATTTTATTACTTTGGAAAATAATTTAATTCATGTGATGAATATTTTATTTATGAGAATAATTGAATTTTATAAAGAATTTTATTAAAATTTCTGAAAAGATAATTTAATTTCTGGGAAGAATTTTGCTATTTATCAAGATATTTGAATTCTTTAAAATAATTTTTTCCAGTACTTTTAATAAAAATTTTTTTCAATCAGTAATTTATGAAAATATTATTAATAAAAAAATATTTCGTTCGTCTTTATTTTTACAAGTTCAAAATTTTTGGATCAATGATAATTTAAAATTAAAAATGTTTAAATAATAATAATAAATACCTAAATAAATAAATTTTATCACTAATTTAATGTAAAATGTTAATAGATAATTTATGAAGATTATTGTAATTAATTACCTTTCATGTAACGTTGAATAAAATTGTAAATTTGCGGAATATAAGGTTCAACACTCTCTCGACATTGTTTTGTTGTCATATTACATTGAAACATTAAACTTATGGCATCGAAAGTTGAAATAATTTTTTCGTAAATTTCCATAATTGCGGGAAGTGTTTCAATTTTTTTCATCAGTACCTAAAATTAAAATTACATTTTAAAATAGCAAATTTTAATTCAATTAATTATAATGAATATCATTTTAATATTATTATCATTATTGTTGTTACCTCTTGTAGAATATTATGTACGAGAAGTCCAACAGTCATGTAGGAGCCATTGGACTCAAAAAGTGGCAATGACTCGAATCCACGGAATTTTTCCTTCAAAATACTTTGTCTGTGGCAAAAAAGTCCTCCAACAACGGAAGTTCCGGATATTAAAATATCCGGGTGCATTACTACGAGACCATTATTGTTGTCCACTATCCAATCGTCGCCAATTTTTTCAGCTTGTATCACAATTATTTGTCCCTTTTCAACTTCCAAATTGGACCTTTTTTAACATTCAAGAAAAATAAATTTATATTTATTTTTTTATGTTATAATATATTATTTTAAATTCATTAATCTATTTATAATTATTAATTATAAATTAATTCGTTCTCTCTGCGAAGCAAATTTTCAGGATCCAAATATAAATACATAATTGTAATTAATTTAAAATAAATTAAATTTATGAACTTGAAACTCACCAGTAATCACAACATTTGACACAAGCCGTCTCATTGGAAATCGAATCTTTCAAAGATAAATTTAAAAATCTTCCAGATTTTGTCACATTTGTTATAATACAACGTGTCAATTCCGCAAGACTGAGATCATTTTGCACAAAATCCTCAATGAATATATCATCGAAAAAATCATTTTCCAAATCAAAGGAATCGAAATTGTGTTCAATTTTATCAACAGGTAATTTTTTGTCACACACGACGGTTTTACTGTCTAAATTATTTTCCTTATTCACATCGTTAGTGGTGAATTTTTCTTTTAATTGATCGGGGAAAATTTCACTAAAATTCTCATCAATTGATAATTTCGATGCAACACCAGAATCCTCATCGCTGATTATTTTCTCCTTTAATACATTATTTAGTGGTAAATTTGAATTATTTGCATCTATTGTAGAAGTAGATTCGTTTGCAGCACTTTTTGTAATTTTCATTTTTTTCGGTGATGAAATTTTTATATTTTTTCCCCCTTTTTTCGTGGAACAATCACTTTTTGAATGATCCTTAATTTTTTCTCGTATTTTCGTGTCATTCTCAATTTTTCTCTGTTTTGACGAATGCTCCAAAATTGATTTCTCCCCTAAATCGTCAATTTTTCTCTTATTTTTCGAATCATTTGTCTCGATAGATTTATTTTTGTTATTTACTGAATCAGATGGTTTTTTTGTGAAGAAAGAAGATATTTTTTTATTATTTGCAACGTCTCTTTTTATGGCCTGAAACATAATAATATAAATTATTCAAAACTAAAATTCAACTAAATGCGTTTCAAATCAAAGAGATTACTAACTTTGAAGTCTAGGAAAAATGATAATATTTATTTCTTTTCAAATTAATATTATTATTCGTGAATCATAATATTTTTGACAAGTATAGACTCGTTGGATGTTGTTGTTATCATTGTGGGGGAAAATTGTTTTTGTATTTAATTTTTGTAAATAAAGTGCTTCAAAACTAACCTTTTGCTTGGCTGATGTATTCGTTGTTTTTATTTTCTTCATTATCACAGACCATTTGAATCAATAATTATAATTTTTATTCGACATCTTCCAGAATTACACGAGAATAGAACATTTCCAGTCTATTCTCTTTAGTTCCCGCCAATATTACCTCATTATGAGATAAAAAAGTGAATGTAAACAAATTACGTGCATAATTTCTTTTTTGGTTATGTTGATATGTAAACATTGCTCTATTGCGCATGCGCGAATTGAAAGTCACGTGTGTCTTTGAAAAATAGCGCGTAAATTCAATTTGAATAAATCTGGAAAGAAATTTTTTTTATTGAAAATTATTTATTTTTTACCTTCTCTAAATTCTTAATAATAAATTATTTATTTAATTTTTTTTCAGCTAATTTTTAACTTTGGTTTTTTTAAATTAAAACGACTAAAATTTTTTATCTGAATTATAATTAAATAATAAATAAGTTTGAAAATAATTAAATTTCAATAATAAATTAATATAAATTATTATTAAATTATTGTTCTTGTTTATTATTTTATTATTATATTATATTATATTATTAACAAATAATAATTAGTAACTAATAATAAATAATATACTGAGAAATAATATAATATACTAATAATTAATAAATAATATTATTTAACTAAATCAAAATAATAATAATAATAATAAAAATAATAATAAAGAAAATAGCAAGAAATAAATAAAAATATTTAAATAATTGTGTAGTTGTAATGTAATAATTTTATATTAAAATAAAAAAAATTTCAAGATTCTAAAAATAATAAAAATTGTAATTTGTATCTAATTAAATTTTAATCAGAATAAATTGATTATAATATTACAACTAATTAATAATAATTAATAATAAAAAAATTGAAACCTGAGTAAAATTTAGAATTTTACGATTTTTAATCAGCTTTTAAAAAATTTTTTATGCAACTGATGATAAAATTGAAGAAAAAATGATTTATAATCTATTTATAAGAATTGTGATATTAATTTATTTGAAATAAAGTCGAAATTTTCAGTATATCCGCATAATTAAATGTCAGCAGCAGACAGCGAATGTGAACGTTTTACGTTTTCCGTTAAGATTATATTAAAGGGTGGTTTTCTGCAGCAGCAGTCGTCGCAGTTGCCGCTTTTGTTTAGAATTTAAGTGGTTTTAAAAAAATTTCTTTCAACCAACAACTTGATTTCTTTATACTGATAAAAAAAAATTTCAATTTAAATTTTAAACATCTTTTCATCTTTTCTATTCCCCCCTTTATGTAGTGAGGAACTTTTTATTTAAAAATACGATAGAAATTAATTATAAAAATTATGATTTTTTTACGTAAATAATAATAACACAAGTTTTTTAATTTTACAATATTAAAATATTAAAAATATTTATTTTTATAATTGATTATTTATTCTTAAAAAATTAATGTTAATTAATTAATTAATTAATGTTAATTCATATTATTAATTAATCATTAAAAAAATTATTCTTAACTATATTAATTGATAAAAAAAATATATGGCTTTCCAATGAGGAAGAAAAATTATAATAATTTTCTAATTTACAGTTTCACTTTCAACTATAAATTGGATTTTGTTAGTTCCTCGAGAGTAAGTTACAAAAAAAAAAAAAAAAATGATTGGCAAACTAAAAATATTTCTTGCAAGGAAAAAACTATCTAAGAAACTTGGGAAAAAAAAATTCTGTTCACCAATTTTGAAAAGTTTTTAAATAAAGTCTCTGGGCAATATTAAACGATGAAAATCAACATTCTCAAATGGGGTTGAGGAGTGGGGGTTGGATGCGCTCTATAGAAACTTTTTACCCATCATACTCAAACAATCGTTGAAAGTTAAACAAGATGCGTATTACTCTCTTGAAAAATTCACTGGCGACGAGAGAAACGATTACGGTTTTTTTTCTTTTTTTTTCTCTTTTTTTTTTTTTGAAGACATATAAAAGTCAGTATCAACACTTAACTCTGATTGCATCTCTTTGTGTCTTCATCATTTTTCTATAGTATCTCTCTCTCTCTCTCTCTCTCTCTCTATATATATATAAACGAAAGGGGATAAAATATAGAAAAGTCAATGCCTCTCCATATTTCTTCAAATTGGTCCATGCCTCATCAAACTTGAGATTCATTTTTCAGGAGATTTTTATTTCTCCCTTTTCAATGGTTCTTGTCCGATATTACTTTATATTGGAAACTATTCTACGTCAAAATCACCAAATTATTGGTTTTTTCTTCCTTCTTTTTTTCATTCTTTTCTTATTTTCTCATTTCGAAAAATTGACTCAATATTAATTTAATATTTATAATAGAGTTACGTTGATAGTGAAGAATAATTCATAGTCATAAAATATAAAAGTTTTAGTTTCAAAACCGTGTCGGTTTTAAATTTTATATTTTTGGTGCTTTCTCATGAAGGTTTTTTTTATTTTTCATTATAGGTAAAAAATAATTAATTGAAATGAGTCAGAGAAATATTAATTTGAACTATAACTGAAATCATTTTTCTAATTATCCGATTCGGCTGAGCTTACATTTTTTTGACTCGTTAGGAGTTTCTGTAAAAAAAACCCTCTTTGTGCGAATAAAGAAAAAATATTTTTTTTTGCCTTTTTTTTGCAAAACGTGCCAAAAATAGGCTGAAAAATTTTTAGTTTTTGAGGTGTTTTTTTGGGCTTGATTTCCAACTTTAAAATGCTCTAAATTTGTCCCTAATTATTCGTTTTGACTCAGACTACGTTCGACAGACTCATCGCAGGACTTTCTGCAATGAACCCTCTTTGTGCGAATTCAGTAAAACAAATTTTTATTGCTTTTTTTTGCAAAAAACACCTCAAAAACCAAAAAATTGTTCAACCTATTTTTGGCACCTTTTGCAAAAAAAATATTTTTTCTTTATTCGCACAAAGAGGGTTCTTTACAGAAACTCCTAATGAGTCAGAAAAACGTGGGCTGAGTCAGAACAGACGATTAGGAAAAAAGTTATAGCAATTTAAAAATGGCGATGTGTCAAAAAAAAGGTTCAAAAACACCCAAAATTTTTGGGTTGAAAAAACGACTATTTTTGACATATTTTGCAAAAAAAAAAAACCCTTAAAAAATTTGTTTACAGAATTTTCACCAACAGAGATTTTTTGCAGAAACTCCTAACGAGTCAGAAAAATGTAGGCTCAGTTGAATCGGATATAATTAGAAAAAAAGTTATAGCAATTTAAAGTTGAGTATACGTTAAGTGCATTTTTGCATTTCAAAAATGGCCAGATCTAGGACTCATTTCTGGGCACTTTTGGGCAATTTTGAGGGTTGTGACGTCATTTTTCAAAATTTTTTCGAAATTTTTTTTTCTTACCTAAATGATATTTTTTTAAAATCCTTTGAATTGGAGCATCTCTGGAGCCTCACCAGAAGTAATTTTAGTATCAAAAATAAATTTTTGAAAATTTTTTTTCAAAGTTTTTGGCATGTTTTGCCATTTTTTTAATTATTTTATTTATTTTTTTTTTAAAGTTTTTTGCAATTTTGTTTTTTAATTTTTTTGCAAATTTTTATTTTGTTTTTTCATATTTCTTAGGATGGTGTTTCTTATTGTTTTATGTTGGTAATAAAGTTTGTTGGAGAAAAAATTTTTTTTTTTTGGTAAAAAATATTATAGAAATTTGCTTGTCATTTTGTACTAATCTTTTAGACACGTTTTTGTATTACCTGTCAAGTTTGTACCTTTTTTTATTGCTCCATATGTTTTTTTGCAGAACTTTTGTTTTTTGGTTGAGAATTGTATAATCTTCTTCTTATTTTTTATTTTATTTATTGGTTTATACACCTGTCTTCAGCCTTACATATTTGGCTAAACAAGTGTTTTTACATTTTCGTAATTTCTCTTTACAAATTTTTCTTATTAAACTTAAATACTAAATTTTTGCGTCTACAGAACGGCTTGAAATTAGTTATAGTTAAATTTTTATTTATAGTTTATTTATTTGTATTGTTTCTTCATGAAAGCGTGGTTTATATATATTATATAGTTTATAAATTTTCTATTTTTCGTTCAGTTCTATATATAGTAAATATACAATTGAAAATAAAACAAAATTTCCAAATAAAAAGAAAACTATTTAAATTTATTTTCGTGAAAGAAACACTTTGCAATTTTTTCTTCAATTTTCCACAAAATTGAAAAATAGAAAAAAAAATTGAAAATTCTATTAACACTGAGTGAATATAAAAAAGGGGGTTAATTTTCTTAACAAGATAAATAAAATAGATAAGACCTTTTCTAGTCAAATTGAAAAAAAATCGAATAACACTATATACACCGGGAGTAGAATAAGATAGTCGTAAAGATTGGATAAAAGTAGTTTAAAAAAAAGAAAATGAAAGAAAAGAAAGAAAGACTGATGCGTTATATAGAGAATTTAATTCCATGTTGAGCAGAAGAAAAGGAGATATATATATATATATATATATATATATATATATATATATATATATATATATATATATATATATATAGAAAAAAAAGGAATTTTGCGGAAATACATAGAATCCAAATCTACTGGGACAAAAATGCGTTCAATCTATTTCCATCCATTTTTTATCTTGTTTGACCTCCTCTGTCTATTTTCATTATTGAAAGAAAACTTTTTCCATTCATCGATTTATTCATCTTTTTTTTTCTCCTCAGTAAACTGAAAAATTTATATATATACAAAGTTTTATCAAAAAAAAAAGACGTCAAGTTTTTTTTTTAACTTTTTTTTTACGGGTCAACAGAAATATGACAAGAATTTTTTTTTGGATAATTTAAATAGAAATTGGATGGTACCTTTTTTTTTGAAGTTAGTAGGGAGAGAGTGTGTGTGTATTATATTAAGGAAACCGTGAATAATGTGGTGTAAAATTCGTAACAACTTCTAATTTAAATAGAAATGAAAGTTTTTCCTGCGTTGACACGATTCTTTGAATAACTTAAAATGTCTAGTGTTCATGGGGAAAGAAAATTATTTTTTATAATGAAATATTTTTTTAAAAAATTGTCAAAATTAGATGAATTTTATTTTTTTACTTTTGCAAGCGTAGTAAGAATCTATGTTAAGTCAGACTGAATTTATTTTATTGAGATGTTTTATATTCCCTCTTATTTTCTCTGAATTTTTTCTCAATTTATTTCTATGTT